TACTAGGGGGGTATTTCATCGAAGTCACTTAACAAGTCCAGGCTTATCCTGAAATCCTGAGCTGAAACTAGCTCCATCTCCAGTTTAAGCCTCAACTCGTTCCATGACAGAAATAAGACTGAACCTGCCCAAAGTTAACTCAGGCCTGAAGTTTAAGCTGCAGTGACTGTGAGAAGGCCAGATCAATGGAGCAACAACATCATGGAAAATGGGCCGAAAGTGTGTGCTTGATATTTACTTCTCTGGCCTACTTTATGCTGAATTGACATCAAATCTGTAACTGGAGCAAATGACGTGATGCATTTTATTAAAGACAGCATTTCATATAGTTTATTTTTTTTCCCATTTATTAAAGGTCCTTTATTTCTCAAAATTGACTCTTGTGAGCTTTACACCATGTTATAATGTTGGTACCCCATCAAAGCATACCTGGAGTTGTGTTTTGTTTCATTCACACATTTGAGTAATCCTTTATTATCAGTCTGTCTACATCTCCAAAGCTCAAAATGCTCTGTTCTACCTTGTGATGCCATGAAGCAGTAGTTTTCAAGATGACAGCTACCTTTTACCTTTTGTTCTGTAGAGATGGACAATTCCAGGGCTGAAATTATCCACATGATTCTAATGAAGGTGTATAGTTTAAAACACAGTGGGACACTTCCTGTACTTAGCCTGAATAAGCAGGAGTTATAAATTAAAAGGTATGAATGAAACAACATGGTAACATCAATCAGAAAATAGTGTAATATGGACCCTTTATTAAAATAGTTTTGTTTGAGTTTATATAAAGAGATATATGTAGTATTTTTGTATTAATTTCATGCACTGCCCTTGTGTGAATCATAAAGACAGCATTTGATATGTTAACCCCATTACATATAAAGTAATACATTTTTTAAGTGTACAAAACGCAATTAAAAGCTGATACAAACCAATTTAATCCTTCTCGTAACTTGTATCTCACTATAATGTACTGTAAATTTGCTGAAACCCAAAAGTAGGGGGTCTTTATAGTTTCCTTTCAGTGCACCCAACCACACAAAGCACCAAAGTGGCACCCTACTGTTTAACCAGCCACTTTGAGTCTACTATTCTGCAAAACCTCTCTCAGGTATAAGCTCGGAAAAGTCCTACTGCTCAGCACTAGACAGCCTCAAAGCTTGTCTGGCCTGTAATAATAATAATGAGTCCAGCCTGGATTGTTCTGGGACAGCTGTTGTGTGTTTATTTCCAGGGAGAGGAAAAAAAGGGGCCAAACCCAAAAGTCGGCCATATGTCTCTGAGGCCTGCACAGAGAAGAACCCAAACAGGAAGTGACAGCAGGTCGTCCAGTCAGAGCTCTGAGGGAGGGAGAGAAGACACAGGAGGTTTTGTGTTTTCAGCTTTAGTAAAGGGGAGTGTGGAGGGTCTGCTGAGTCCAGGGTGGATGTGGGATTATTTAAGAGCGGATGTCAGGTTACACGGGTGAGAAGACAGGACAGGGGAGATAGAAAATATATGGGTCACTATATGACTTTTGAAGACATCATTTAAAAACTGGCCTATGTAGATTGTGAGGGGGAGAGTCTGCCACTAACTAGTCTCCATGGAGATGCTATACATGCATCCCGAATTTTGGACTTCCGGTCATCACACACTGCATACTGGGAAGGATCCTCCGAAAAAGTGAGCATTAAACCGTCATGTTTGATTTGGGATGTGTCTATTGTCAAAGCTGATCTTTTCAAGTCTTCTGAACCATATCGCTTTTGTTTCTGGTTCTGATTCTAGTCATATTTTACTTATGAGATTCAGACATCATAATTGTGTGGTTGTTGGATGTCCTGACAGCGGAAAACAGGCTTCGGAAGATTGCGAACTCCATAATTGCTTAAAGGGAATCAGATCTGTGTGACTGAAAACCTCCATTCAAATTGTTTCCCTTCTCAATGGAATTGATAAATAGTGAAAGGCGAAAGCGATGGGCAGTATTGATCCACGGGAAGGAAGAAAAAGGTAACCTTTGGCTGCCTAAATCATCCCGAGTTTGCAGCAAATATTTTGTATGTGAAGCGCCATGAAAGTAAAATCCCGTTTGTTAAGCGAGAGGTACAGAAGACAAACAGGCTGAGCTCGCACTTTCTTGTTCTTGTGGCTTTACAGCAACATCATGTCTTGGTCGCTTTGCAGTGGAAGGTGTTTCTTGGCGAACAGCTGGTGCCTTTCGCTTTGGCATTAACTTTTTAAATTTGTAACCAAGGTTGAGCAAGGGATCGGAATTTTGCTTTGTTGGCGCTCCACATGCAAAATGTTCATTGCAAATTTGGGATGATTTCTTAGGCTGTCAAAGGTTACCTTTTTTGTCCTTCCTGTGTATCAGTACTGCCCATCGCCTTCACCTTTTACTATTTTTCAATTCTGTTGGGAAGGAAAACAGTTTGAACGGAGGTTTGCAGTCACACACATCTGATTCCCTTTTGCATTTATGGAGTTCGCAAGCTTTCAAATTCTTGTTGTTTTCTGCTGTTAGGACATCCAACAACCACACAATTATGATGTCCAAATCCCAAAACTAAAATATGACAATATCAGAACCAGAAACAAAAGTGATATGGTTCAAAAGACTCAAAAAGAGCAGCTTTGACAATAGACGCATCCTACTGGGAAATCAAACATGGCGGTTTGATGCTCACTTTTTCATAGGGCCCTTCCCAGTATGCATTGTGCGATGATCAGAAGTCCGAAATTCAGGTATTAAACCTAATAATCTCCATGGCAACAAACAGATGATGCCTTCAGCCAAAGTTACAGTCCGCATCTGTGAAGAGGGGACATCGCTCATAGTTAGTGTAACAAATAGGCTGGTTTGTTACCCACTGCACTTTTGAAAGCACACAGCACTTTAAACAGATTTGCACATTTTACAAAAGACATTGCACATGATTGGTTTTAAAAATGTATTCATTGCCTAGGAAAAGGAATCATTATTATTTAACTAGTTACCTAAATGGATTAATACAATATATGTGGTGCAATATATCTGTTTTGAAATGTTTTAAGTGCTGATGTGTGTGTTACTGTATTTTATTGTGTTTTTAATGAATGTTGTAACCACAGCCTTTGTACTTACCTCATTTTTCTTCCAGGTCCTAAAAGAGTCCCCTGGCAACGAGCTCTCCCTTTAAAGGTTCCAGGCTGGACCAAGCATAATAATATTATATTACACAGGGGTAGTAGGTTAGGTGTTTTACTGGTTTATGGGTTTTAAAGTTTAATTGGTGTGTGATTTTAGGGTTTTTATGTATATAGTTGGGGTTTTAATAGTTATGGTTTTGGGTTTATTTTATGGAGTGTTAGGTCAATGTTAATTTTTTTTTCTTTTACCATCCCTGTTTTAACTGTTGTAGTTTTACCCAGTCAGTCAGACCAGATAAAAAGCGCCTGCAAATGTCATTCTGTGTTCTGCTGCTGGAGAGGAAACTACTGCCTGCCTCCATTTTGCACTTTTTTTTTTCTTTTTTTTGTAATGATTAAAAACCAAAAAGAGTAAACTGTGGACCACCTCTTCATGTCTTTGTCTGTGTTTTTAATCTTACTCCCTGACCCCCAACCACAGTCACGGTCCACCTACGTCACAGTTTGACAGCATGTTTGTTCAGGTTTTTTGAGCAATAAAACACCTGCGAATTAAGAAATGTCACACTGTGGAACATTTCAGGCAGAATACTGATTACCTTTCCCTGCAGATAAGCTGGTGGTGGACACTACAGAAAAGTTCCATAACACACAATATGCCTTTAGCATTATGACACTATGTAATCTTATCTTATCTGCTAATTGATAACAGTGACACAATAGAGCACTCACGGAAATTGTGCTGAGCTCCATGGTTCTCTGGGGGGTCCTGACCCAGAAAGGTTTGGGAAGCCCTCTCATACAGCAACAACCTTTTTGAAAAATGTGCATAAAATGTTTTCAGGTTTTGCTGTATTATTGATTCCCTGAGGGTGTGACTCACTGTCGTCTATTTTTCCTTGAGTTTTCAGACTATTTTAAATCTGTTTTGTCTGTGTTTGCTAATGTGTGCATTGTGTCACCATGGTAACCATGTAGAACACACCTGCAGTATCAATAGAAAGAATTGTGTTACGCTATTACATTCCCAACACAACATTAAAATTTGTCAAATGCTGTCCCAATTTGTCACACATTCTTGTTTGGATAATTCTTATTGTTTTACTGACTGAACCGTGTTATGGCTGAGTTTTGGGCAAGCTGAATCACATATTATGAGACAATAATGGAGTGTGAGGTGTCCCAGAATGGATTATAAAGCATCAGGTCACACAGACGATATTTGTTTCCGAAGACAACCTGTTGCAACTCACTCAAGAGCAGAGCATGCCGAGAATGCTGAGAGGATTAACACTGGGTCACTTGAGTTAATGTGAAAAATGAGACACATACTTAGTGAAGCATTGATATCTGTGAGATTAGCTCTAGTTTCAGTGTTATCTTAATCGTATAGCAATTGGTACAGATTATGACGTAAATAAACTTTGTCTTACACAACTTAAGAATAGGGGTGTACAAAAGTACCAAATATGGATACATATTTGATCCTAAATTTAGTAATGAACTATTGTTATTGTGGGCTGCTTTATCAATATATCGGCAAAAGTATTTTTTGGTATCTTTTAGCATCTTATTTGGTGGAAGAAAACTTGTTTATGCTATAGCCTTAACAAATTAACTGATTAAAATCAATGTAATTCATATTCATTTTGTGCTTACAGGGTTTAACAAAGAAATATTGTTGCTAAAATGTATTTGGTTCTTAAAAACAGTAGCATGTGCAATATATTGATTATCTCATGTATTGCCATATCATGATATTGTATCGGGAGCCATGTATCGTGTAGCTTATCAAACCGTGAGGGACCCTGCGATTCCCAGCTTTACTCAACAAATATATAAAAATGACAGCCACAAAGTAAATGTTTTTATATATATATACGTTTATTTGGTGTGTACACAATACACTTCTTTGGAATAAAACTACATACTGTATCATATGAATGAGATTTATGGTTCACAGAGCCACTTTGTAAACATGCAGCCAAATGGTTTAGAAAGGGAGGATACAAAACCCAACAACAGCCCATCATTAAGGAATCCAGGAGTGTGCCATGCCCATGATAAATACAGAAAAGGAACATATTTGCCTGTAATAAATTGTGCTCATTTATTCCATGTACAGATATAGTGTGGCCCAGACACCTCCCAGTCTGACCTCTCATACCTCTGCAGCTCTTCTCCGCATTTCAGTGGCAGGCCAAGCAATGGAAATGACCCTTCAGGAGATAACACAAGAATCATTGGGATGGATGAAGTGAAGGAGAATGTGTCAGAGCAGAGAGTGTCTTCAGACTCCTCTTGTTTTGATGGGAAGCACGCTGATAGAGCAAACTGGGAGGTGCAACTGCTGGGAGCCGTCAGCCACAGATATGAAAGCACCAGGCACAGGGATTTATGTGTACTCTTGTGTTTTGGTCTGTTTTTTCTGCACACATTTGACCACACAGACAGAGAATGTTTAATATGTTGTGGCTAAAGTATTAGCTGTGATAATCAATAACTCAAGAGTGGTGTTTACTTACAGATTTAACCCATTTAAATACATGAAAAAGAGATGCTAATGTTCATTGGGATACTGGCCTCGCATGGCTCTGTGTACATCCTGCATCAGTGGTAACATTATGAGATGAATCTCTGTGGAGTTAAATCTATAAGCCTAGTTTCATTTCCTCTGTCCAGTTCAGTGCATTAACAGCCCCACAGGGGTGCTTTGCATGTTTGTTCCAACGCCTGCGTTTAAAGAGTAAAAAAAGTAACATACATGCTAAACTGGGACAGTTCCAAATGAGGTACTCACGGTTCACTTCACTCACACACAACTGTTTCCAGTTTGACAAGACATAGCTTAGTGGTTTTCCATTTCAGATTAGTCATTTTCTCAAAGAGTTGTCAGGGACACTGATGTGTGTTGACTGCGTCATGACAAAGAAATACTAATATGTGCCTTTGTGAGGTTCAGAAGAGCTGCTTCTATGTTAATTATGAAAGTGGTTCAGTCACTATCAGACAAAACAGCAGTCTAACCAATATACATACACCACACTTTGCTGGTTTTCAAATGTGTCCTCTCTACACCCACACAATACTTCCATAGGATTTATAAATACAATATATCAACATGACAGGAGATAACTGCTCGCAGTCATCACTCTTAAACTGAAGTCTCTTTGGATTTAAAAAGGGCAAGTGGATAAAGGTAACCATGTACCAAGGAGTGCAAATTGTTGATGCAAGTTTAACCATCATGACAATATACAATACATTTGCATTTCTGTATTACAAATAAAGTCCATATATTGTCGGGAAACAGTCTGAGATGATTCTTGCTTTTCATTTGTGCCAACTATGCACTCCCTGACAACATTAAACAGTTGACTCTTTGGGTCCCTCACGAGCAGCATTCTTACATCCATAAAGCCACTTAATGACTCTGGCGTTTCTCTCGATGATAGACACTCCAGTTGGAAGTGTCTCCACCAGCTCCTCCTCAAATAGTCCATCTCCTGAGTGACGGGAGAACTCGCTGGGCTCAGAGCCACCACAACCCTCCACCACGCTGCGCAGGGCCAGTGACAGAGTGTCTATGGAACTGGCACCAGACAGGAAGTTCTCTCGTCCCAAACACTCGATCATGTCCATGTCCAGGCCACAGAAGGCGAAGAAAAGCTCCTGCTCTGACAGCGCCACAGAGCTGCGGATCTGTAGGTCCGATTTAGAACGTCGCAGTTCTCCCAGCTGCCGCCTGTGCACTGGTGGAGAGGCTCTTTTCCAAGGATCGTTCTCATCTTGGTTACTCGAGTGGTTGCCATTAGTGATGTTATCATTGGTACCATTTGTATCTTCAGTCTTTTTGAATGTGCTGAAACCTGGGCTTGACAGTGACCCAGGAGACCGATCGTGGTCCATTTTGCTTGACCTTCTACTTTCTGGTCCACTATCTACAGTATCTTTCTCATTGGTCCATGACATGCGTGAATCTCCATCTCGTGAAGGAGCCCTCTCCTCCCCGATCACCATTTTTTGGATTCTACTGTCTCCGCCACTACTTTTCTCCCTCATAGATCCTTGGAAAAGGCGTCGTACAAAGCTGTAACCCCTGATTTCAGAGTTATTGTTCTCTCCTGGACTAGAACTAGTTGGACTTTTGCACTCTTTCTTCTGCCGGTAGATGAGAAGTGAGTCTGGCCTTAGCATACGTTTGCCAGAACTTCTTCTAAGCACAGGTGCACTATGTGGGGCCACCAGGCTGTGAATGGCAGGCGTTCTGGGGCTTGGGGGCAAAACATTGTTCACATTGCTTCTGTTATTCGCCTCAACATCAACCAATGTCCGTTTGTTCTCTTTTCTGGAGTCATCATTTTCGTTTTCATCTCTGGAGGTGACAGAGTCTGACAGTGTGGAGAAGGCTGTGTTTGAGGAATGGCGTGGGGGGAGGTGAGGTGTTATGTTGCCAGCGGTAACCCCAGCTCGTCGGGGTGGTGGGGTGGCACATGGGACCAGCGCGGGCTCCTGTTTGGTGTTGATTACCTGCTGGCTCTTGACATATTTAGCTTTGTCCGCCTCCAGCCTCTCCACGGCGCTGATGGTTCGCCCGTGGCTACCTCCGTCTATCTGTCTGCGCAGATAGTCGGGGCCCTTGTTGAGGAGCCTCAGAGGGGAGGGGGAGCCGATTGGTGTTAGCGGTTTCATGTTGATCTACAAACCAGGAAAGGGCTCAAGCTCAGAGATGATAAGCTGTTTCGGGCGTCCCCCAAGACACCGTACTTGGTCCACTTCAAAACACAAAAATGTAGTTAACTCCAGCCGCTCATTGCATGTTCTCACAGATCATTCTCAAGGAGTAATGGATAGGTAGCAATTCAGGAGGCCACAGGCAGACAGCTTGTTGTAAAAACCTCCCAAGATAGCTGCAGCGTCTTTGTTGGGCAAACCAAGTCTGCAGTCAAATTGATATCTCTATCCAGTATTTAGACAAGCATTTGACTAAGCAGGGAGGGCACAGGGAAGTCCTTTTTTTTGTCAGCCAAGAGCTCTCCCAAATGAGATGCTCCTAGCCCACAGAGCTTCCAAAATAGCAAGCAGGGTACTCTTTGAATGGGCTACTTTTCCTCCCCCAACAGCACCCGTCAGTGTTGGTTTTGTGGCGACAACTTCTCCTCAAAAATGAGATATAATGGCTTCAAATATTTGCCTTTCACTGGGGTTTTTGTTTGACGCCGTCGTGGTTGAGCGGACTTGAGGGTGGCCGGCTCCAGGGCACTTGATCCGCTGAAGGACAGATGGCCAGACGTAGATCGTGTCCTTGTCCTCACCTCACCTGGAGAGAGAAACAAAAAGAGAAAGAAGGTTTAGTTGGAGGGGCAGATCTCATGAGCAGAATACAGAGAGCAGATGGCAGAAGAACAGTGCTCTCTAAAGCTCAGCTCACATTATATTTATTTAAAGCTTGAGGGAGTTGCCCGGTCTGGAGCAGTGAAGCAATGGTAAGCCTAACATGAATAAGCATTTAATGAGTCTTAGCTCCATATACATAATAAATACATTGTGCATTAGCAGAGATGCTAGTTAGCGATGAGGAAATGGTAAAGTCAGGTCAACAACAGTACAGGCTATATTTAGAGAGATTAGTGGCATCTATTTTCAGTCGTGACTATTTCGGCAAAACATTCTTGTTGAATGCAGTAACAACTGTCTTTAAAGCTATTTTTGGAATAAAAAACAAGAAAAGGTGCAAATCTTCTTGCATGGCTACAGCCCAGGAAATGCCATAAAACTGTATATAAATATAATTAACAAAAAGATGATGGCATTGTCTATCTTTTTAAAGATATTGTCTAAACTTGCACTACTGCAAAATAGATGTAAGCACAACCCTATCTAAAAGTCTCTGACAACATTAAAACACGCAGACTTAGATTAGATGGAAAACTGATGCAAACATATCTGTATCACAAAGAACCAAGGGCATGTTGATGTCAAAATACCTAAAGGTCCTATATTACGCAAAATTGACTCTTGTGAGCTTTAAGTCATGTTATAATGTTGTTAGCTCATCAAAAACATACCTAGAGTTGTGTTTTGTTTCATTCATCCGTTCATTCATATGTTTATGATTAATCTGTCTACATCTCCAAAGCTCCAAATGCTCTGTTCCACCTAGTGATGTCACAAAGTGAGAATTTTCAAGTGAACAGCTACCTTTTACTATTAGTTCTGTAGAGATTGGCCATTCCAGGCCTGGAATAATCTAAATGATTCTACAGAGAAGGTGTAGGTATATGGAGTTTAAAAACACAACACAGCACTTCCTGTATTACCATATGATATCACAAGGTGGAACAGAGTGAATCTGAGAGAATAACTTTCCTAAATAGCATATTTAGGTTTATGTGTTGAACAGTATGGGTGTAATGATATCCAAGTGTCACGATACCATATTGTCACGGTATAAACCTCACGGTACGATATTTATTGCGATATCATGGGAAAGATCACAATATGGTGGGGAGGCTCATGATTAGGGATATAACAATATCCAAATCTCTCGGTACGATATCTTCACGACATACATCTCAGGGTACGATATTTATTGCGATATTTTGTGGAGGCTAAACAGCTAAAACTGTTAATATGCTACTTTTTCCTCTTAAAATGTCTTCACAAGACTTAATCCAATTGTTATTTCGTCATGTAGTCTACACTGAAATGGAGCAAAGGATCATGGTCTTTGTAGTTCCCTCTGTCTTTTTTTAGCTATTGCTGCACCATAACTCTTAATTTAAGCAAAGAGACTTGTAATTTGAGATATTGTGATGGTCCACGATATTACTGTGAGAACTTTGACGATACGATATCACAATATTTTGGTTATTGTTTCATCCCTATTGAACAGACATGTGACTGAAAAAAACAAACAAACACATGTCCAGGTATGTTTTTGATGGGGAAATAACATTATAACATCAGAATATACAGGCCCTTTAATAAAGACTTAACATACCATGGTGTACTTAGCTCTTCTTATATTTCTTATTTATGATGTTCTGAAGTAGACCATATGTTAAATACATCTACGCGACACAACATTTTAAGAAGAGAAAGCGGGGGTGGAAGCCTGTATCGGGACCAGCTCAACCAAGGCAGTATTTATAGTTTGAAAACATCCCACCAGCCTCTTTGCCTACTCATGTGTCTATGTGTGACTACATTACACATGTGCGAACCGTACTGTATATTCCGGCTCTATTTAGAAGCTAAGCCTGTGAGCATGTCCATGTGTCAGCAAGAGGCAATAAGAGGCTTCCCTGTAAATGAAAAACCAACTCTATGCACGACTAGGCAGCAGATTCCCATGGCTTTACGTTATCTGGAGCTTTTTATATAAACCATAGAGACAGGTACGTGCCTATAAGCCTGTCACGATGCTTAGGAAATGTAATAAAACAGCACATGTAAAGATAATTGACAAAAATATGATAGCATTGTCTTTTTGATATCTTTTCAAGGCCAAGGTCTAACCTTTACTACTGCAAAATAACTGTAATCGAAACCGTATCTAAAAAGGCTATGATAACTTTGAAGCATTCAGAATTAGATTAGATGCAAAACTGACTCAAATATATCTGTATCACAATGAACTGAGGGCATGTTGACATCAAAATACTTTCCAAGGTCCAATATTACACAAAAATGACTCTTGTGAGCTTCAAGTCGTGTTAACAATATCTATTCTTAATTATGGTACATTCTGTTATGAATTTGTTGCAGCTCATGCTTTTTAAAGGTGCATTGTGTAACTTTTCTGGTGGAGGGTTGGTGAAATGTTTCTATCTATCGTCATGGAGTCCAAACCAGACCAAGTTGCAGGTCAGATCTGTGGAAAGGCAGCCCCGCTCACAGTCAGAATGCTTGTTTTTCTATGTATTTTTGAGCTGTAAAACCACCCGTAATTGAATAAATGTAAGGTAGAGCTGTTTAATTTCATACTGTGGAACATTCCAGGCAAAGCGATGACATATCCATAGAAACAAGCAGGTGATGGACTCACAAACAAAAAGTTGCGCAGTGCACCTTTAATGATACAGTCTATTTACTGGGGTAATTGTGTCAGTGGCTTTAATATTATCATTTAATGCACATTTTCTCTATCATGGTTCAGAATGTGTTATCATTTTATAGCCTACGTGCCTTGTGTACAAAGAGAAGGTAAAACTCAGGGGTATAAGTGGCGCCAAATTTTTATGTAACTCTATTTAAATTGTATGAAGCGAGACAAGGGAGAAATAAAGGCTTCCGTGCAGCAGGAGGGTGTCACATTGTGGGTTGAGCCTTCCTCCGGGCACACTGCTCCTATTGTCAAGCCTATTTTAGCCTTTCCGTTGAATAAGGTGGAACAATGAGCCAGCCACCTTCGGCAGGAAAACGGATCTACAGTCTATCATCTTGCAAGACAAAATGTACTATGTAAAAGAACCAACGCAAGCATATAAAGCTAAAGAGCGATTTCTTGTGTTATATGATTTGATTGTTGATCTTTAGAATAGATTTCCAAGTATAGACAATATATGCTGTGCTTTCTTAAATAAAGTTATAGTGGCAATGAGCTGAGCTTGAGGCTTAATAAAGGATCCCAATTTTGTTTCCCAATGTATCCCAGATATATTGTATAAGCAGCTCTTGAGGTCAAAATACATCTGCTGTGAACTATCTGCATCCATCTTATTGTCCAATTATCAAGAAGTGCGCATTAGCATGGTAGTTGTTATTTGCTTTACTATAAAAAATACACAAACTCATCATAGTGAATAAAAAGGTTGCTCCGAATACATAAGGTAAGTGGGGAATAATTTTAGACCATTAAAAACATTGAAATTAACTAGTTTTAAGGCAGTAAATTTCAGCTACAGCACCATTAATGTCAAGCAATAGAAACTGCCATACAATTCAAGACTTAAACTGAAGTGGTTCATATTCAGCCTATTATCTAACTTACAGCTCAGCACGTTTGTAGGTGTGACTTTACGTAACTCGACCTTCGTTAATGCTCACTGGGAACATCAGTCAAATGGGACACCGCTATAACTTTACTAAGAAAAGCAGTTGGGGGCAACAGTCTGCCAACACATTTTTCCAGATGTCAGGCCGTAAAGGACCAGGAAAGCCAACCATTGTTGTGGAAGAGTTCTGGGAAAACGTCTCCCAACAGGTGTAGGGGGGGCCACACACTGAAGCGGTCATCAAAGGAGAAAAATGGACAGAAAACGAAGGTTAAGGCTGTGGCAGATGAGAAATTTATTAGACACCTCTCTTCCGGAGCAGTCTGTTCTCAATGTGATTTGGAAGTGTAGCCGTAGCGGTGGCTGGCTAATGCTATTGAAGCGTTAAAGGATTACCGCCACAGGAGCCTAAACAAAGTCACTAATCCTGACGTTTGGCGTTGCACTGAAGCGGACGAGGGTAATGTCTGAATATGCATATTGGTACAAAGACGATAAAGCCAATATCAAAGGGTACAGTATAAACTAATCCCCAATGACCTCACAGCTAACCTGGAAATCCATACACTTGCCTGGAATATCCATCTGTGGCCTACTTACCATGTACCATTCTTTCTCCTAGGGATGCACCAATGTAGTAGCCTGATTCATCAGCTGGTTTCACTTCGTGGAAACCGTCTGACCTCACAGCGTTAGAATTTGTTCGCTGAACAGTAGGCAGGTAATTTTTTTAATTTAACCAATCACTGCTATTTGGTCATGGTGTATGTAATGCACTGCTAACGGGGCTAACTGCTATATTAAGCTTTTCTCAAATCCTGCGGGAAGAAGGGCAATAACGTCTTTCCCCTTGATAAAATTCACTGAACATTCTCTTTAAATCCTCAATCTCGGGATTTATTGCCAACACAGAATGTATGACTCTTCGCTGATTGGCTGGTGCCCGAGCTCGCACTTCCAGGGTTTTTGTGAACTGTCTAGTCTATTGAGATTCCTGACCTTGTCATTGGAGAGAAATGAAATTGAGCAGAGGCACTAGTACTACTACAAATCTAGATTTTTCAGTTTCGATTCCAATATTATAGTTTAAGGATCTGCCAGTATCAACCGATACAGGTTCACAGGCTGAAAACAGCATTTATTTCCATAAAACAAAAATAAAATAAAACAAGACAGAATGATTCAAATGTGTTATGTGATTTTTATCTCTCAAGTAACTAGAGAACAACTTTGTAAGAATAAAAAATCAAACATATGAGACTTTCTGGACCAACTATGACCACATCAATTTATATGTCCAACCAGGAATGAACCGATATTA